GGATTTCAGAACTGATGCCATAAAAAAAACCCCAATGAAACAAGCACCGTTGCAGCTTTCCTGTCCTAGCAGTTAATATTGCAGAATTTGTGAATGCTTTGTACTTCCAAGTATCAAGCTACTGCTTCACTTCTTATTGTGGATTTAAAGGTCTAACTTTGGGCATACAAGTTTGGAGATGTGTGGAGATGCTAAAGCAATGGGAATATATCCTTCTCTGGGAAGAAAAAAGCAGCTATGGTCAGGGCAGTCATTTGATCTTATTGGTGTAGTTTTGCAGAAAACATATGCCATCTTCAGGACCTCACTGAAAATGTAAGTGGTTGCATAATCGAATATTAAAGCTTCTAGTACTTATGCTGTTCATTCCCTTGGTAGTTGTGTTTTAATACTCCTGACATAAAATAATCCCATAAAGTAATAATAGAATTTAGAAATGAAGAGGGTGAGATATTGAATTGGTGCCCATTAGTTCATCTTCTTTTCATAGAAGGTTTCCTGCCATGATAAAACATTGAACAGTTTGTAAGTGAGCGCAGCTTTTTAGCTCTTGTATGCCACTGTGAATCTGTGAGGTGAGTGTATCTGCTACCCAAAGATGCGGTACTTGTTGGAGGGTTAGCTGTGAGAAACGGTCAGATTACCTGGACCGTGAATGCTCAAGTAATTAACAGTATAATCCTGTTAACCTGCAGTTATTGTATCTGAATGCCTTACAGTTGGCATGAAAAAAAAATACTAGTCTTTTCCAACATCTCACCAGATTCATCAGATTAGGTTATTATTCAGACTGAACATAATTTTTATAAAATATGCTATTACATATTTACTGATTTATTTGTTAATATGACCCAAACTACTGCGATGAATCATTACAATTAATCTTATTTGCCAAAATAAATTAATGAGGTATATCTGTTAAAGCTATATTTTTTATGTTTTTATATTCTGTCTATTTGCTTTCTTAGGAAATTGCTTTGTTTAATAAATCCGCAGGCTCTTTTCCTGTCATTGGTTCAAAATAGATGCAGAAGGAAATTTTCTTTCAGATATACTCCATTTTGCTTCAAACTTTTTTTCAATGGCCTTCAGTATAGCAAAGGGAAATTATTTTATCTCCTTCCGAAGGATATCTTGGGTGTCTTTCCATGAGTCTCTCACCAATGTTTTGTGCATTGGTGTAATGGAAACATGTTACATACTCAACCTTTGGAGCAGGTGTTAGTGGTTCCTTTACAAGTTCCAGCATCAGGTTGGCTTCGCTTTGTAATAAAACTATTTGGTAAAACCTGTACAGACGTTGGCTGGTAAAGGAAAGCTGTCCTGGCCTGTTCAGTGCTGCAGGAAGGACAGCAAACAGGGAAAAAGAGAACAGCTCCTTCTTGGCAAGATATTGTCTCACCAAGGCAAATTAAAATAAGCATGTCATTTCTCTGTGTCCTTTCCTGCCATGTGGTGCTTAACAGTGTGTCTATGACCAATCTTTCAATACTCTGTCCTTTCAATACAATTTAATCTTCTGCCCAGTTTATTTGCTGTTACCAACAGTTGGTATTATATTACTGAAGCATATCCATGCTGGAGAATTAAGACAGTAAAATATGGGCTGTGCTTTATGGTCATTGTAAGTTACATCATTCTGTTTAAGGAGAAATAGTAGTAATCAGCAGGAATGGAAATAGAATTACAGTGCATTATGGTTCAGTGATGTGATATGTTTTCACTTTGGAGCACCAGAGGATTAGTGATTGTATACCTATCATTTACAAGGAGGAAAAAAGGATATGTCCAGTTTATGGTGGTATATGCCATTTTCAGAACTCCGTGTTCTGTTTCAAGGGAAAACACCTAAAGTGAATCTGTTTTAACAATATCAGCTCCTTACAGTATGTGTCTCAGCTAGATAATGGTTGAATATTATGTTACTCCATATTTGTATGGAGTGTAAACATGTTGGAGGTGCTTGCGAAGCAGTCTTGAGTACTGCAGATTTAAATTCATAATTCAAAATCAGAATGTGATAACTGCTGTCTTCTTCATTCTGCAATTGTGGTTAAAAGAACTTATTTAAAATTCAGTTACCATTAGAAATGTCTTTATTCTTTGTTTATTTGGTATGGTATTACAGTTTGCCAGGAGCGGTTTAGGCAGCAGTCACCGTTACTGTTCAGAAAGTACAAAAGAGGAATTGGAAGTAGGCTGTTGTTTTATCAATTGTTCTTAGGAAAACAGGGATCATCGATTTATCTTTTATCACAGAGTGGTTCCTCTCTACCTGATGGTTGGGGTTTTTTTGTGTTTGTTTTTTTTTTTCTTCATAGCTGCAGATATTTATTAATTTCTTATACTATTTATCTTAAACAGCTTGGTGTTTCTTTCTTAGTTGTGCTGCGCCATACACAATTAGTTTGAGTGGTGAAAAAAAAAATGTAAAGTCAGCAGCTTTCCAGACACTTGACATTTCATAAACCAGTGTTTTATGGATGTTAATGTCTATATCAAACCAGAGCCCTGGCATTTGGGTTCCGGTAACCAGTGTTTTTCAATATTGCAAAATCTTATTTTCTTCTTGCTAAAAAACCACATCTTTGCTAGCTGTTTTTGTGATGGCTGAAGGTTCATAAACTTTTGGGAATAGAGGTTCCAATGTGGGGGCAATAAATACTAGCGTTTACTTATTTTTATTAAGTAAAAATGTATCCAGTCTCACTATGGTATTCATAATTGCACTGAAGGTCAGATTTTTCTCAGGTTAGTTTTTCTGCTCTGCATTTCTTGACTATGGTATTTAGTACTACAAGAAAATACAGATATTTTTTGTTGTTGTTGTTTCATTTTGGAAATAAAATCTAAACTGAAATATGCCAAATTCTCTCAGAAGTTCTTATGAAAAAATAAACCCCTCTTTGCAACTTCTTACAGTCTTACTTTATTTTTCATTTCATGTACTCTTTCCTGCAGATCTGGTGTGATAGTTGGCTAGTTTAATTACTGCCTCTCCAAAAAGATGAGTGTTTGTACAGTCTGAAGTATGTCATTTTCCTTTAGAGGTAACAGTGATGGGAGGAGGACAAAAATAAAGTGTTTGTAAATTAACAGTATAGGTGTATTTATGTGCACCCTTAAAATTTGCTGTTATTCTGACAGAATGGCAGCCGTGAAAGTTTAAAATTCAGAGGATCTGAAGATCCTTTTCAAACACTCATCGTTACTCAAACACAAACTAAGTAGACATGTAGAGTAGACATTGGAGTGTTTAAGGAAGATAAAGTAGAAGAGTGGTTGCTGTTGGTTTGGTTCTTGTTTGGTTACAATTCTTGTTTGTTGTTTTTTTTTTCCCCTCAAATAGTCTCAATAGCCCACTTCCCTGGGTTAGTAGTAATTTTCTAATTAAATGGAATTTCAAAGACAAATGCTACTTGCTCGATGCCAAAACTTGTCACAGAAAGAATTGCTTACAGTGAATCTCTCAGTCGACAGACCAGGGAGAAGAAATGTTAGCTGCTGCAACATTCTTTTGGCTCTGTAAACAGCAGGGTGCCCCAACTCTCCCTGGCTTTACAAATGTTAAGGCTATTCAGCACCTATAAAATTTACTTAATATATCAGACCTAAGCTTGGGAACCACTCAGCAGTGGCAGTATGTTACAGACTTGTTATCAGTATGTGGCTTAAAAATGCTAATGTTATTGGACTTCAATCCATTGTCATACTTATGAAAGTGCCAGTCCTACAGGTATTCAAGTATTTGACTAGTCTAGTTTAGTAATTTCGTGCAGAGCCAGCCTAAAGTAGGCCCTGGTGAGGCCACATCTGGAGTACTGTGTCCACTTCTGGGCTCCCCAGCTCAAGAAAGACAGGGAACTACTGGAGAGAGTCAAGCAGAAGGCTATGAAGATGATCAAGGGAACGGAGCACCTCTCTTATGAAGAAAGGCTGAGAGACCTGGGTCTGTTTAGCCTGGAGATGACAAGACTGAGAGCAGATCTCATAAATGTGTATAAATATCTAAAGGGTGGGTTTCAAGAGGATGCAGCCAGACTATTTTCAGTGGTTCTCAGTGACAGGACAAGGGGCAATGGGCACAAACTGGAACACAGGAAATTCCATCTCAACATGACGAGGAAAAACTTCTTTACTATGAGGGTGACAGAGCACTGGAACAGGCTGCTCAGAGCGGTTGTGGTGTCTCCTTCTCTGGAGATACTCAAAACCCGCCTGGATGTGTTCCTGTCCAACCTGCTCTAGATGAACCTGCATTGGCAGGGGGGTTGGACTAGATGATCTCCAAAGCTCCCTTCCAACCCTGACCATTCTGTGATTCGGCAAACTCATAGCCAGCATAAAGTAGTCTTGTGCCACCTCAAAATATTTTCCCAGTCCCTCTTGTCCCATCTTTCTTAAAATATGGTGATGCATTAAGGTCCAGTTTCTCAAGAATGCTCTTTAACCTCTTTACCTCTTTTTTTTTTTTTTTTTTTTTTCTTTGAGAAGACAATCAGCTTTCTGACTAACAGTTTTGGATCAATGTGCTGTGTTCCACTGTGCTGGTATTCTCCAAAAATCTACATTGTCTAGAAATTAGGAGGAATGTGACTGAAGAAGCTTGCTTCTTGAGCTTAGAACAAAAAAAGCGGTCCAGAAAAATAAAGAATGCTTTTTCTAGGGAAGCTGTAGCGTCTACAGTAATTTAACATAGTCTTCAGCACACATTTTATAGACTTGAGAATCTGCGGTTTTCTAGGCAAGTTATAGAAAACCTTCACTACTGGGACCTGTGAACTCAAATGCATTTGTTCTTTCCTACCCATTCGATCTTTGTTCCACCCATTTTATGTGCCTTGCCCATGATGATTTTGTTTTGTGTTTAGCGTTCTGCTGAAGAGCAAGTGAGCTGAGACCCTCCTGGAACATGTCACCTATGTTTAGGTTTCTTTGCTAGTAACATGAGTGTCTGATTGTGGTTGTTTTTAATAACTGGGAATTTCTTTTGGCACTAGGTGATGCAGATGTATCTCCCATTCTGTGGGATTGCCATATCCAATGCCCAGCTATTTGCAGCTTCGAGGAAGGAATATGACAGGAGCAGGGTAAGTAAAAAATGTATATTGGACTGATACTAAACCTTCGTCTTTTGTTCCTTCAGATTCTAGCTATGCATGTGTTTGCTAAGCAGACAGTTTAACTATGTTTTATTTAAAAAATATATTTTTGACAGATCACTATCTTGACTGAGGCAGCAAGCAGAGAGTGTGGGAGGGAAATACGCTGGTGGTGGTGGCTGTTGTTTCCTGATGTCAATTCCATGTTTCGTAGTGCTGAAACAATTGTGTTTGTCACACAGACGGTGCAGGAGAGAGTGTTACTTTGGCAGAGACTCAAACTCTCATAAAATTCCAGCAATATCAAATGTTTGCCATCCTGAATTTGTAATATTCAATTCATGTGCAAATAATGTGGATATATCTTTATAAAAGTAAGAAGAAAACCTGTATGTGAAGGGTTTTGACAGAATGTGTCTTTGTAGATGTATTACTCACATTACTCATGATTGCTGATGCCATGCATGAGTTGGGGCAGGAGGCTTCAAAGAAGTGAAAATAATGCTGAGCTCACATATCATTTGCTTCTCAGAGAGGTCTTTATTTTTTTTTTTAAGAAATAAAATGGTAATTTTGAGGGTTTTCTATAATTGTTGGCTTTTTAAGTCACCTTTCCTGCAATGATGGGAAATTATACTTTTGTTATCATGGATCACAGTTCCAAAGCTTCAGTAGGAATACCACTGGTAGCGTTGAACCTACCATTGCTTCGCAGAGCAGGGGAAACTACAGTGGGGCGGGTCTGTGTAAGTACTGACCTTTGTATATTCAGGATTTTGGTGCTTTCCATGTATGAAAACGAATGCTTTCCAATGCTTTGAAAACTAACAATAGCCCTTTCTAATGGTCTATGTATTTAAGGGTCACAAAGCATCTGAGCTTGTCTTCTGTCCAGGTCTTGACTACAGACCACTATATTTTGGGGTGGAGACACTTGGAGTGTAGGACACTTGGGGAAAAACAAGATTTTTCTGCCAAAGATTTTTTTTTTCTTTGTTTGATGTTCAAACAAAATAATTGTTTGACTACATAGAGACTTAAAATTTGCTGCAGATTCCCAGCTTGCAAGGAACAATGACAGACTTTTGAGGAGTCAGGGTTTAATGTTCTGAGGGAGGCATTCAGCAGAAAAGTATTAGGGACTTTCTCATTCTTCATTAAAATGGTAAATTCTGGTGGTTGGGCACATCAGGATATTGGATTAGAGATACAGATTCTTTCTTTTTGCTGCTTCAGCCATGCGAAGCATAACAAATATCATTGCCATTTGACAACTACATGGGGGCCTGTACTTAATTGCATTTCTGACCTGTTGGTGGTCTTTAGCTTTGCCTCGTACATGATTGAAATTAGTTGGCAAGTAACACATGACAAACAAGCTGATACTTTGCCTTCCCTACCAAACTGGGCACCAATGGTGATAACTTCCAGTGACTGTCACCAACATTTTGCTGATGACTGCTATATTAGGAAAGCTAAGACCGCTAACATTTATATGCTTACCTATACGGATGTTCTTCAGCGTTGGTGCCCTAAACCAGAATAGAGGAAAAAGCACGCTTCCTTTGACCACTGGTAAGAAACAATATGGTCTATTATTTTTAAAGTTGATGAAATGAGAGGGGAAGTCCTTAATTTTAAAGCATCATATTTTACAGACATGTTGGTGGTAAAGACTGGATCAGAGCGCTATTGGAATATGGAAGCATTGATGTGTTTTTCTATTTCCAGCTTTGAACATGCAAAATGGCTAATAAATGAATAAAATGGAGTTTAAATGCACCAGAAAATTCAATATGACAAATCAAGTAACTCAATCCATACTGCACACTTGGAGAGTTGCATTACAGCCATTGTTTCATTTTTGGACCACAGTGAAATAGTTTGAAAGATCCCCATTGTTTGCTAGGAGTTGGATTGTGCCCAGTTGTGAGCTAAGAAATACTGAAATTCTTTCTTCAGATACCCTCACCCCAATTCTCTTGCCATAATCATTAAGAACTTTGAGTGAAGATTTCAATGGATCACTCATATTAAAATCAGTCCCAGAGATTATGCCTCCTTTGCAATGCTCCATGTATTTATTAATTGTACAACCAGTACAAGAGTGTTTTGTCCTTGTATGCAGGCTTTACTGGAAGTAGTGAATGACCTCTTTGAGGAACAGACTGACTTAGAGAAAATTGTCAAGAAAATTATGCATCGGGCCCAGACTCTGCTGAAGTGTGAACGGTGCTCAGTGTTACTTCTGGAAGATATTGAATCACCAGTAAGTATGGCTGCACATTCTGTCGAAAGGCTAATATTTGAGCAGTGGAGCAGCTGCTTTTATTGTGGTGAGGCTGTTTCATATCGTATGTGAGTGCTGGACAGCAAATATTCTTCCAGCACGTCATTCTTAAACGTAAGTTAGATGGAGGTTGAATTTTTATCAACACCACTGTTGTGGTTCAAACCCCAGTAGGCAGCTACGCCCTAAAGAGCCGCTCGCTCATTTCCCTTCCCCAGTGACATGGGGAGGGGAATTGGAAGGGTAAAAGTGTGAAAACTCATGAGTTGAGATAAAGACAGTTCAGGACGTAAAGCAAAAGCTGTCTGCACAAGCAAAGCAAAATAGGGAATTCATACGCTACTTCCAAACAGCAGGCAGGTGCTCTGTCATTTCCAGGATAGCAGGGCTTCATCACATGCAATGGTTACTTGGGAAGACAAATGCCATAACTCTGAAAGTGCCCCCCTTCCTCCTCCTTCCCGCAGCTTTTATTACTGAGCATGATGTCATATGGTATGGAATATCTCTTTGGTCAGTTGGGGTCAGCTGTCCCGGCTGTGTTCCTTCCCAACCTACTGTGCACACCCCAATCTATTCACTGGGGCTGCAGAGTGAGAAGCAGAGAAGGCCTTGACACTATGTAAGTACTGTTCAGCAATAACAAAAACATCTCTGCGTTATCAGCGCTGTTTTCATCACAAATCTAAAATACAGCACCATACAAGCTACGATGAAGAAAAATAACTCTATCCCAGTCAAAATCACTATAGCCAGTTTTTCAAATGGAAACTGAAAGGTACATTTGATTCCTTCTGGTCGTTTGAAGACATTTAATGGGGTGTCTGTAAGTCGCTGATGGATCTGTGAGTGGTGTGATCCCGCTGATACGCTGTGATTCTCAGTTGTCTGTGTAATGCAATTCGTGCTTAGGACAGAGCAGCTAGGACAGCTTAACTGAGAAGCAAGGTGTTCCTGTGGTCTGCTTAAAAAAGAAAAATGAGCTGATTTGTTATAAAATACTTATTTGCCCAGTTCCTTTCTTTCATGGTATAGCCACTAGGAGGAAAGAAAAATCCTGTCTGTAGCTTCATTTGCATTTACCTGGAATTTATGGCCTTGCTAACATTCTCAGGCTGATGACTTAGCAAATGGGTGGTGCTTGCAAGCAGTTTCAGAACCAGAAACAGTGGCATCACCAACCAAATCTTTAATGCTCATTTTTAGAACTAACCTTTTCTGCATACATTCCAATAAATAATTATCAGGCATCTTTGATATTTCTACAGTGTTCAACTTTTGCATCCATTATTGTTGTTTAACTGTAGCAAACTGAAATACTAATGTAGTTTCTATTCTAGTATGTAATCTGTTACATCTTTAATCAGAATACTGGTCCCTCAGAAAAATCAGATAAAAATAAACTCATCAAGATTTTAACTGACCATCCTGTGTATTCAGCAACTCAGTGGGCTTTACAGCAATCTAATCAGTGTCTTCGCAGCAGTCAGCTTCTGAACTTCTCATGAATGTGTTTTTGTGAAATCCAGTATTTTAATGCAGAAGAACAGCAAGACAGTAAGGGCTGAACCTGCAACACGGGGAGTTTTCTCAGGTACTTTTGGTGGCCACTGCTCCATGGGATTTGTTCCTTCCTGAAAGTTTTCCACTCACTCTAGCTGTTGGCAGGGGTATGTTTGGGAGTAGCCGTGTTTGCACGTTTTGACAAGTTTCCTTACTACTTTGCAAAACAAATAATGAGAACTGATCTTGGTTTCTAAATGGTGAAAATGCTGTGAAAAGGTAAGTCGTCTTGTGTTTTGACCTAGTAATTTTTCCCTGATGCAACAGAAAAATCCATTGGAAAAGACACATTTACATACAAATGTCTAGATAGTCACATACTTGTGATAGGAAGAAGCTTTATAATTGAGCAGGTGAAGTGGAAGGAGATGACTTTCAGCATTACTGAAGTATGTTTTTCACAATGGCTCTGTCCGCTTCACTGAGGAATAATTACTTCGTTGCAGAGCTCTGTTAAGTGGAACAGATGGATATAAGCTATATGAAAATATTTGTGAAGAGTTAGGTTTCATGCACAGTTTTGACAGGGGCTTTCACTGGGACTTTGTAGCACTGCCATTTGTAGGGTATGAGAGCCTCTTTTAAAGTGTTTAACATTTTTATGACTTGTTGTTAGTAGTAAAATAAGTGATTGCCTTTATATTGGTAGCTCCCTTCACTGTTTTCAGGCTATTCAACACAAGCTATCCTCTGTTCTGTTGATTTAGAAGTAGTTGAAGGATAAAAATGTCGCTTGTAATATCATTCTTTTTTCTATCCAAGTATCTTTGGATTCACTGACTCTGTAATTGATTATTTGTTGCAGGGCTGTGACAAGTCTAAATGATTATCAGAGACAGAATCATATGTTTGTGTGTAGGGCAGAAAAAAACCATTTTCTTTCCTGGAGGAAAGATGATTCTCATTTCATTTAAACTAATAGAAATTAAGTAATTTCAGTGGAGTATGCACTAAAGTACACTAGCATTCATAAAAGCAAGATCGAGGTTTGTATTTCATTTATATATTCTCTGTTATAGAATTTTAATGTTTCTAGTTTTTCTCCTTCTAGACCCCCCACACTGATTTTATAATTACAAGATACAGTTCTACTACATTCTTATGAAATGTCACTATGTTTGCAAATATAATATGATTTTTATTTTTCACAGACCAGTACATTGTGTGTGTTAGCAGGCTTTGGGTGGCATTGTTCACTTCATTTTTCTGCTCTTGGTACTATTTCTACCTTTGAGCATGGAGGGGTTTTTTCCAAACCACAGTCAATGAGTTCTCATTCCTCTAGACCAATTTCTGAAATGTGGACAGCCAAGGTATTGAGTTACGCTTAAACTTCTTTGAAACAGTCATAAATCTTAAGTTAATTTTGAGTAGGAGAACAGCATCTTGCCACACACTTGGTCATTTTTACAAGTGGTATGGTAAAACAGTTATTTTCCTGATTTCCCCCTATTTTGGAGGGCTAACCTATATTTTAAAATAGATGTCCGTAGAGTAATTCAGTGTTAAGCCATGTCTCAAATATTGTCATTTGTAAATTGTGTGAAAAGCTTTTACAATACACAACTGAAGTGGAAGATGGGGACTCATACTAGCATCCAAAACCATCACCTGTGTTCTTTGTCACATTAGCCACTCTTAAAATGTTTGACTTATGTGCCATTGGCACATATGTTCGCAGAAAATTTGTTGCGATTACTAGTGCAAATGGGTCTTTGTTTCTATTCCTATATTAAAAAAAAAGTTAAGTTTGTGTAAAGCTACATAATTCATGTTTCACAGCCCTTTGAAGGGAAGCATGTACTGTTGCAGAAAATAGTTTCATGAAGGAATCTAAAGATGTCATTGTTAGTGAACTGTGCACAGTGTGTATTTTGAACATGAATTCTCCATTGGGGGTATACAGATTGAATTTTCATGCTAAGACCATTGGATAAAAATGGTTTAAATATAGGAACCTTACATTAATGTTTTCTTACATATTTATTAATCTTAATAACAATAATTTTAAGTTACTTTTTTGTGACAGGTGGTGAAATTTACAAAATCCTTTGAGTTGTTATCTCCAAAATGCAGTGCTGATACTGACAACAGGTTAGTGCTCCTGTTTTCTATGGTAATGGGTTACTTTATTTTCCAGATAGTGTTAAATTTGCTTGATCATAGTTTTATTTTCTTATGGAACTTTGTGTAGATTTAGTTGAAGAGTGTGAACCTACAGTTTTTACTCAGACAAGACTCCTGCTTGCTTCAAATGGAGACTTGCTTGAATGAATGTACGTGCCTATATTTTTATATGTGTGTGTGTATATATATATATGCACTAACATTGTATTGCTGTCTCAAAAGAAACCAGGAAATAACCAATGAGTTTCTATCGGTGAACTTGTGGAGAATGCACAAATGTTACAAAATTACAAAATTATTTTAGATTGATCTCTTCCAAAATGCCTCCTTACAGTTGTCTTGAAAGGTTTCCAGTAAAATTTTATTTCTGCTCTTGTCGTCAAGTCAGGAAGTCTAAAAACCTCAGAGAACGTGTATTTTCTAGAAATTGTGTTCCTGTGACTAAATCTTGTTCGGGAGCCCAGTCAAAATAGAAGTATATGTTTTGCTTAGTAGGATCAGTATTTAAATATTGATAAAGGGCTAATTGTAAGTAGTCATAGAAAGAGCTTTTTGTCCATGTGGGGTTACTGTATTAAGCCCTACAAGATAATACAACTGGTAACAGTTCACGTAAAATGTCCTACATACCAAATGAGTGGATGAAGAGCCAGGGCTCTTGTAAGAAGGTTTCTCCCATCTTTCAGGGCCCAAACTCAGTGATTATCATACACATTTTATGCAAATCAATTCATACTGCTTATAAATTGGAATTTTCCATGTCAGATAGCTGCCATAATGGTAAACCTAGCCTTCTGTCCACCTTGCTCTCCATAGCTTAGCAAACTTGAAGATTATTTTGTGCTTTGCTGTATTTAAGCCCTTTAAGCAGCTTTTAAAAATATTTTGGGTTAATTTGCCTTGTTTCGTGCTTTATTTCTTCATCTCCAGTATGGTAAGAAGCTACTGCTTCATTAAGATGAATGTGCACATTGTACTCCAGATTACGACAGGTCATAATTCTTAATGCTTTTCATGGATTGATCTCACAGCATTACAAAAATGGGTACTGTTATTTTTAAGATGTGCGAGTTGACAGCAGAGTCCAGGGCCACACAGAAAGAAGCTAGATCTCTTCCATGCCCTATCCACTAGTAGGGAGATGGGAATGGCAGACAACTGGAAAACAAGTGATTAAAAAAATAGGGTTTAAATATGAATAAATGAACCACTGATTCATCTGGGAATCACAAGTTTACTGCTTTTGACGAAGAGCTTCAGAGTAGCAGTTGGTCTTTCCTAGGTCAATCAAATGGGTAAAAATACATTCCTTTTGTTCAGGAACAAGAGTATGAATCAAGAGATGTGGTTGTTATTCCTGTTTTTCTCAAACTTGATCTGTAGCCAAATTAGTCAAAATAATGTAGCGTGGTGTCAAGATAACCAAGCTGGCTCATTTCTTGTTACCATAGTTATGTTAGCACGTTACCAAAAAGCAATTTGTAGTAGCCTGCTCTGCGTGTAGTGAAGTCAAGATTATTTTAACTTTAGTCTGAGACATGAATAAACACATGCAACCTGCTAGGTAGTCTTTACAAGGTTTTTAAGGGTATATTTGTGGGCATCTTAATATAAATATTTATTGATTTTTCTTTCAGTTTTCATCCAGTGGTGAGTGAAGTTGGTTTTACAAAGTCCAAGGTTAGACTGGCAGATATGATGTCACTTTTGGATCTAGCACAGGCACAGCTTGAGTTATTGGCACTATAGTGGGAAAATAAAGGTTATTTAGGATACAGAACAATGCCGCGGGCCCTTGACATTTGAGCATTTTTCAAGTGAGTTTTGCCCTTTTCATTCTACAGCAGCTGTAACTGATGTAAAGTCATGAGACGTTTCGTGTGGAAAAAATGGCAAAATGAGTTTCTTCAACATTACACTAGTGAAGATAAATAGTATTTCTTTGAAATCTTAGTGGAAATCCAAAGAGATTATAGGCTGAGAACAATTCTAGTTATAATTTTTATTTGAAAGAGAGGACAACATAACTTTTCATGTCCTGACCTACTTTTTCACACCTAAACCATTCTAAGATTCTTTCTTACATCTGGCTATTGGCAGTTCACCTGTTTAGTCCTTAAATATTATAATGACTACTCATATCTTTTTTTCTTTGCTGTTGGTTGTGAAGAAATACCTTGCAAGACCACACTTGCATTTATCTATTCAGTTTGCAGTTTTCCAGCACACACCATGATCAAGTTTGTTTATTATTCTTAATGGCACACTGTTCTCTTTTTTGCCAATTGTTTTGTTCTTGAAGTACGCGTTTGCGAAGTCTCCTAAATTTTCCCTTTCTTTTGAAAAAAAAATTATATAAATCTTAGAAGCCTTGAGGGTTCAGTTCTGATGTATTCTGGATGAAGATGAGCCTGAGGGAAGGTGCTCTGGACTATATCTTCCCTGCACAGAAGTCACCTTGGCTGAGATTACAGTTCTCTAACCTAAGTACCAGGAAGGTCGCTGCCTGAGCCAGAGTGTGGGCTCTGTGGGAGAAAATGTCTGTCCTCCCTCCCAGATAGGCTGATACAGAGGAAGTGCTGAAATCCCTGCTACCAGTGTTGCTCCACCACTGTCCCTGGGAGGACGTGCGCTCTGGTATCGCCTCATTCCCCGCAGTATTTTTATGCTTCTTAGAGCATCCTTTTGCTCTTCTAGTCCTAGCAAGGACTGGAAGGGTTCATGTCACTGTTCAGAAGGGATTGTTACACGTGATTTTGGCTGTACCACTCCTCTACTATACTTTTACTATCCCTGTCAGGGAGGCTTTGAGGAAGATAGCAAGGCAAGGAGCTGCGTAAGGGGAGCCTGTGGCACTGCTCGGTGCTCTTGAGCTGGGTTTGCTCTCAAGCCAGGCATGTGGTGCTCCTGCTAGTGTGTGGGCAAGACAGGGAGATATGGTGGCTTTGCAGCTGCCTGCATCTGTCCAGCAGGACTCACAGCTTTCCACAGTTTGAGAAAATTGTTACTTGTGATTTTTAGAGTAGCTTCTGAGTGTTCTGAGCTGCTGAGGATAGAGAGAGCACCAGCTGGCTGTGATTTGCATTAGAATTAATCACTGATATTTCCTCCTAGTGAAAGTTGAGTGCCTCTCTTCCAGAGTGTAGTTGTAAAGCACTTGCTAGGAATGGAGGTGACATAGTAGAACATACTTGTAAAACTTCGTGAATTATATCTTGTTTCTTTTGCTTGAATTCATTTGCTGCTTAAAATGCTTGACACCCGTAATCCACTCCCGATTTAGTGTCTTATGTTATAATGATAATATCATCCAGATTTTTAAGGTATGAAGTGGGAGCTATGCATTTGAAACTAGATTCATATCCTTTAAGATATTTTTTATGCTTCTCAAGTATTGATGTCTTGAAATAAAAAATTCACCTTTATAATTTTAAATTTACTTACCTGAAAAAAACATTATATTTCTGTAAAGGTTCCTGTCAAAGTATACACATATTTATTACAGTCACTCAAAATTCTTATCCCAAATGAAAGTTGATACATTTAGATTTGTGTAAATCATTACTATTATCTTTATTTATAGTCTTTTAAGAATATTGAGTTTTCTTTCAAATGAATGACTTAGTTGAATTAGTCTCTAGAAAATCAATAAAGCCAACAAAAATCAATCCTTTCACTTTGATTGGGTCTTCCAAGCATTTTACTGTGCATCCTTCTTTCATTCACGTGCATTACTTTGAAGCTTCAAGTTACTCTAGTCTTTTCCATGGCTGCTCAGAGGTACTTTTTTTTTTTCCTAAGTAATGTTTCTCAGGTGCTGCAAATCGATCAGTTTTCTTCTCAAAAGCAAGACAACAGGCATTCATGTGTTTATTCACACGTGAATAGCTGCCCCTTGCCAATGTCAAAAACCTGTCTGCAAAAAGGCAATGAGAACTTTCCTGC